ATGTTTGTCCCACATTGATTAGTTGCAATTAATTAAAATCTTTGCCTCCTATCATGATTACTTTCTCATTCAATTTTCTCCCACTTCAGCATGCTCAAATTTATTTTGGGAGTAGTTATCAGTGATGTTGTTTATGAGAGAGAAGATTAATTAGTTTTAACATGTTATCACGCGCAACTGTGATATATACATACAAGGGGTATATATATAAGTAAACAATGATTTTTTAACTTAAACCCTTGTATGAGGATTTGCATTCATGAATTTCACTTGGCTAACTCAGGGCAATTTGATTCATCATTGTGTGCTTCTTCCCAGAAATTCTTATGCATGTACTCCAGAGATGAAGGTAAAAAGGTGCATCTTCATTGATGCCAAAATGCACAAAGTGTGATTTTTCTCCACTGAATTAAGATTCATTTTTTTATTTTTTGTTTTTTGCATTTAAACTAGCTTTGTAAACAGAACAACTTTAATATGAACCATTTAGTCCATAAACTAGACTGAACGTCAACAGTCTGTTTTGCTATTCACACTTGTATATAAATCATATAGTTCTTGTTTTACAGCTTCTCTATGATTAGAAGTTTTGCATAAAACATTCTCAACTGTTCCCGTTAGTCATTACTACTGCTGCTTTGACTTATTACATTGTGCTGAATCTATAGTCTACAACATATAAATATAAGCTTCATTCACAGATTCTTAGCCACAAGCAAGATGAAGTGGTGCGCGTTTCTGCTGCCTTAATTCAGTATAACACTTTTCTGTTTGTGAATATATGCCAATCTTGGGTTATTTGAACTTTAAAGGTTATGTATAGTATAGTGGTCCTCTCTGAGTATTCCCCTTTAAAGTTTGATCCATTTTTTTTTTAGGAATCTTAGTCTTGTAACATAGGGAGGTAATTTGTGGACTCGTGGAATTCGACTTGAGCTCTGATATCGGCTCCTTTAGCAATATCTCGTTTAAGGTAAGCACATAATTGTTGCAGTTATTAAAGACTGCATTTGCTATTAAGGTATTTTCAGCCGAACTGTTGTTATCACATTCATTTTATGTGAAACAGTCGTACTCTTTAAATATTCATACTTCTCAAAAATTCGATCGTCTGACTGTTTCTAAATGGGCATTCATAGCCTTAAAGTCAAAATTCATACTTTCCAAATCAACCATGTTCATTGTTTACATATGATTTTTCTTCTTAAAAGTATGAAATTCTTGAAGAGTATCACCAGAGCACGCAACACGACACTGCGTTACTTATAGTGTACTTTTGTGACTTACCAGAACCTATTTGATACTTTGCAATTATGCTCTAAACTTAACATTTCATTATATTCTACCTGTAATTTTTGGTTACCATTGTTTCTTGGCAATCAACAGAATCATTCGCAGCTCCCCTCTATCAACTACGAACTGCTCACGAAGCGCTGGAAAGACGATCCACCTTCAAACTGAATACATAATAGGGAGTTATCTGTTTGTGAAATATACATCAACTTTGGTGGAAAATTACCTCCCAGTTCATATTCCATGTAAATGTATTTTGCCTTTTCTTTTTTGTTCTACTTTTGTTGGTTTGACAAATTTTCTTTTATTTTTTATTTTTATTTTTTTTACCATATAGTGCTTGCCTTGACAATTTCTTCGCTCTTNATTCAAAATAATCAAACCATTTAAAATTATCATCTCAAATTCTGTTTTAGTCTTTGTATTAAATCCTTGGACCCAAATGTAACTTAAATTGTAGGGCAAGAACACTCACTAAAATTAACTCCCGTCTCTGATCGACTATTTCAGATATTGTCTTGCCAGTATAGTCTGTAATTACTTTAAAACTTACCTTAGAATGTTCATATTCAAATTTAAGTGCTACCACATATAGGTAACACAAAATGAGGCCTTTCACATACTAACCTTGATATGTATAATTTAGTGAAACATTCAATTGAAAAACTTTCACATACTAAACCATGATATATATAATTTAGCAAGGTTCTGAAAACCGAACCAGTCATCGAACCAGTGAAGCTATCGGTTCAATGGTTCATTGGACGAACCATTGGTCGAACCGGTGTAATTAATATATAATTTATATCTATTTTATATGAATAATATATAATTGTATATATTTTTATTATTAATTTTATAGTGTATAATAATATTTTCTAAATAAATAAATAATCGTGTATGTTCTAATTATTTTAGCTAGCATGTCTAGTGTAGGCTTATAGCATTGTTTTATTTTTCCCCACATAATTAAGATTGAGATTAGCTTAAATAGATTAATTATTGTTGTTTGATAAATTGGGCGTGCACAACATACACAAAGCCAGGTAAATAGACAGCACAAGTTGTGAAGCCCAATTTTGTCAAGGGAAGGTTTAAGTCACACGTTCTTTAAGAACTCTTGCAGCTTCCAGCCATGCAAGGCCCAATAATTCAGCTACGTCTTTGTTGTGAATGTCCCATATTGGAAACACTAACAAAACAATTCAGCTATATATATGATTCCTCACCAGCTTTATCACGAAGTCCATAAGGACTGCTGGGCTGCTTGAGCCGCTACTCTAAACCGGACGGGTGTAAAGAGTAAAGAGTTTGGACCCAAAAAGGTATGTTTAAGAATGAAAGAATTATCATGTACACCATTCCGTTCTTTTTTATTTCCCAAATAACGAGATTAAAAACTTCATTCCACTTCAATATTAACGGGTTCACAATTACAAAATTATATCATCCTGATCTCATCCGCCGCATCACTCCTGTTCCCCCTTTTCTTTTTCTTTCTCCATAATTTGTCTCTTTCTGCTTTCCTATTTCTTTCTACTTCAATTGGAATAAGACGACGCAATTACCCCTTCCCTCAATCGACGACGGCGAATTGATTCGATGGCCCATGGGTGGCTGAACGAGGGTTCGACGGTTGGATTACGAGTAGGGCTGAAAGGGCATCGATGGGTTCTCCTTAGAGGGGCATCGAGCCGAGGGTTTCGACGAGAGGTTGAGCGGCAAGGCCGGACATTATGGGTGGTACATGGCTCTCGGACTGACATTGTTGCTGATTCTGCGATTTTGGTAGGTTTAATTATATGATTTTCGTGCAGCTTTAGCTTAATAAAAAAAAACTCAACAGAGTTGTGTGAAATATGAAATGAATAATATGTTCGTGTGGTTCTATTACAGTATGATCCATGATAAATTCTTTGATGATTAATTTAATTTATATTTCCACATTTCTGTTTGATTACCCTTGTGGCATTTGATCCATCATCCCATACAGGTTTATCAAATGAAATTCTCTTTTGATTGTATGGTTAATTTTTTTTTATTTTTTTTAATTTCACTGTTTGATTTATTATTGTTTGAGGGACTTGTGAAGAACTGGTGCTTATGGTTTGATTTATCTTTAGCTGGTTGTATGTGGTGTTCTCAATGCTTGTTTGTTTAGAAGATTTTTATGAATGTGTTAATACTTTTTTTCGTTTCATGCATCTTAGTGTTCTGGGTTATGGAAGCGTAATTTCTGAAACCCCCTTTTGAGTGCTGATGTAGTTTCTTAAATCCGTGTGAAATTGGCATATTTGAAATGTTAATTCTTGTGATCTTGGTTCTAATGTGTTGTGAGTTATTATTTGGTTGCAATTGATAAAAACTGTCAAATATGGAGTTTTGTAATTGTTAATTGTTATATAGCACAAGCACTCGAGTTCCTAGGATTGGTTGGGGACAATTGGTACCTTTGTGTAAAATTCATCAGCTACATTTGTGATTAGTTTAGAAATGATGCAATTGAAATGAGAAGTTAACTGTGAAGTGCTCTTTTAATTTTGCAATAATCCTTGGGTTTGTCCTCTGTTTTTCTCCTTAGGCATTTAAAAGTAATGGAAATTGCTAGTTTTATACATTTTATGTTTTGCTTATTTGTGAATTTGCGTTTTTGGTTAAGGCGTTGAGGATTTCTACTTGAAGATTGACAACTTCTGCATAGACGCATTGGAACATTGGGATAGGCCTATTGATTTCGAGACTGATTGGAAAGAAAATCGATTCCGACTTCGGACTTGACCTTTTTTTTTTTTTTGTTTATTGTAGTTTTTATTTACAGATGGTTTGTGTAGAATCAGCCTTATGGAGAAAATATTTTTCAAATGTTTGATATAATTATTTTGTGGAAGAATTATGTGTTTAATTGATGTTACAACTGGACAAAAGAGCAATTTTTTTTTGGTTGGTTAATTCATGTAGATTTTGTTTTGAATATTTCTTATGGTTATTTTTATTGATGGTTTTTGTTTCATTTTATTTGTAGCTATGTTGTATTTTATATTTTAGTTGTTCATTACTTTTGTGAGTGAATGATTCGTTTTTGTGTATATAAAATATTAATTTTATAACTATAATAAACTAAAATTATACTATATATAAATTTTTCTTGTATAATGAACTGAAAAAAAAACTATATATAAATTCAAATTTACTTGTATTCTTGTTATGGTTTATAAATCTATAATAAACTAAAAATAAATTAGATATAAATTAATAGTAGAAAATCTTGTTTATATACCCAAGATAAACTTATAATAAACTATATAAATTTATAGTAATTATATACTCAAGATAAACTTATAATAAACTAAAAATAAATTATATATAAATTTATAGTAATTATATACCTAAGATAAACTTATAATAAACTAAAAATAAATTAGATATAAATTTATAATAGTAGAAAATCTTGTTTATAAACCCAAGATAAACTGAAAATAAACTAGATATAAATCTATACAAACAAAGGCCAACAAAATTTTGCATTTTGTATTTGTACGAGTAAAATATTAACACAATATTACTGTTACTATTTCATTTGACATAAAACTCTCCAAAACTCCACATAACATTTTTTCTCCTACAAAATTCACAGATTTTGCTCGAAAAAAATAAAATAAACTAGAAAAATATTGAAAATGGTGAGGTTGCTTTCTCTCTTCCATCTTCTACCGTCGTATGGGCCGCATCTGCCACCGTGGCACCGTGCGAGTCGTCGGGAGCTGCGGGTGTGGCAGACGTTTGGGTTCGAGAGGAAGTGTGAAGCTCCTAGTCGCCAAAATAGCTTGAGGAACCAAATCATTTGAAGCTCGAGCATACATTCGGTGAATGGCCATGGATGTTGCATCCTCCACCTCATCAGCATTCAACAGCCCTAGCAAACAATGTTCCAAAATCCTCAAAACCGGCTGCAGTAATTCCCATTGACATAGGAATTTGTGCAACTTTTCTCCCCCATTTGTTGAATTATGTTCCTGGATTACAAAATCCTTTACTCTTTCCCTCACACTTTCAATCTCAACACCCTCAACCAAAATTTCATTCCAAAAAATCCATCCCCGTTCTCGATAACACTCAAATTTTTGGTTGAATTTTGAGGTGTACAATGGCAATCCCCCCAGTCCAAACAACAACATATCTACACCAGTCACGTTTTGACCAGCTCGGCATCTGGGAATATCTGCTTGTAATAGCAATCGAGATCAGGGATGCAAATTGTGACGGGCTTCCCGTTGCGGGCCTTGGTCTCGGTCGAGTAGACGGTGAGAAGTACGACCTCGAATCCGGAGAGCCTGAGAGGGAGACTGGTCGGTCTGTGGCGTGGTGGTGGATTCGGCGGAGGTAGACGGCTTGCGATGATCCGAATGGTGGCGCACACCTCATACGCTTTCAATGGCTGAAAAGTAGGGAGATCGGGAGTCGGGAAAATTAGGATTGTATGTCGATCTCAGAAATTAAGCGCCGATCACGAAAAATTAGGAATTGCAGTTGAGATTTTTGTTTTCAATTGATATAGACATCGTTAATTTACGATTAAGTTTTATGAAGAACGTAATTTTGTGAGAAAAACTTGTAGCGCGTTTTATAGGAAGTACTGTTAATAATAGATGTACACGCGTCTTTTAGCCTTTAAGAATTGGAATAATTTGTGAACATTGGACAGTATATCGTAAGAGGAGTAATGCATGGTAAAAAAAAACCAAACAGTATTTTAATAAATCGGAGATTGACCTTATAATATAAAAAACCAAACTATATTTAATAAATATAAAATATAATAAATCTATGAATTATATTAGGTATTGTGACTCACAAACATTACCATTGGACCACGTTAAATATACAACAAAAAATGAAAGACAAAATATTTTTGTCGAAGATAAAAAACAAATAAAGAACAATATATAACAAAACGCGAAATAAGTAAATGTCAAATATATTTCGCATACATGATACCACAACAAAATAACATTCAATACTAATAAAACACTAATACAATACTCGTGTACTTCACAGGTGTTTGATAAAATAATTAAATATACAACAAAATGAAAGACAAATATATTTATATATTTTGTTTTTTTTTTACCGGAACGATAGATGTACTATAAAAAGCACAAAAGTGCAAAGAGAACAAATTACAAGACCCCAACGGGGTAATCCTAAGACCCCAACAGGGTAATGAGACAGGGGCCAACGGCCCAAACCAAAAACACTCCTAAAAAAAACAGGAATAGAAAACTGAGAGGACATGCACATGGCGGCCTAGAGAACTCCACAACCGAAAATAAAGGAAAATAAATAACAGAGCCACTGCACAATGCCTAGCCTGTATTCATTTCCAAACAAAGACAAAAACACACCGAACAAAAAAAGACAACAAATCGAAAAAACAACACACATTACAAACACACTGAAGAATTAAAAAACGACCTTCCCCCGGAGAAACAACGAAGCCGAAGAAACAGCTACAACTGACCAAAGGATGGGCCCCTAGCCAAGCCCCAACCCCCGAAACTGCCGTAGGCCTAACAAGAGGCAGGGCCCCGCCCCCGAACCCAACCAAAGGACAGCACTCACTGACCGAGGAGAACAGGCTCAGCCACCCCAACCAGCATAACCCTAACTAGGCTAACACCACTAGCCCATGTCAAGAAAACTGGATCCCACGCAACCCATACCGAGCTGCACCAGGATAGTTGCTACCTGCCCGAACTCCAACTCCGGCAACCCCCACTTGAGACACACGGCAGCCACCAGAGCCCCACCCAACCACCACCGTCGCCGACCCGCTTCCACAACCGCAAACTCACCATCGCCCTCTCGCCACATCAGCCAACTACTCAGCAGGGATCCGACCCCCGGCTAAGCGGTCCAAACCACACCCACCCTCAGCACCACCAACCCTACACCCAAACGGGCCGAAACAGGCCCTGACAGACAGCCCCGACGGAGAAATCGCAGGGACCCAAGTCGAACCCTAACCCCCAAATTCACCAATTACCCAATCCACCAAACAGAGCCAAATCAAGTTAGGGAAACTAACCTACAGCCACCCAATCGCGACGAGCAGAAGACGCCGGATTACGAGCTGGAACCGCCGCAGATCCCCAACCCACCGCCAGACGGGAGAGACGAAGACGAAGAGAATGCTATGTCTGCTAAACCGAGGAAAACAACGGCAATGGAGGAAAGGGCGGCCAGCGACGGCCGCAGAAACGGCGTCGCCGTCGCCGGAAGAGGCCAAAACAGTCGAAAGGAGCGGAGCTTTTTGGATTGAGAAAGTCGGATATCGGAGGGGAAAGGAGCGTTCTTGAGTGCTTATCAGACCCGTCTATATTTTGTTGAAGTTGGAAAATAAATAAGGAATAATATATAAAATTTTATAATAAAGAACTAACTAGATTAACAATATTATTTTAAATTTTCAAAACTAATTTATATAGCTCATTAGTTGTATTTATAATAATTTTACTTAAAACACATAAAAGAATATTATGAAAAGATCAAAAAATTTAGAAAGTAAGATAATATGCACATTACAAAAAAAACATAACAAATAGTTTTATATGAAATAGTTTAAACATATTAAATATGTGTATATATGACAATCCAAACCTAAGCGATTTAGTATAAAAAAATAGTAATCTTTATCCAAGTCATATTACAAAGCATAATATTTTGCCACATAAGATTACAAAGTCATATTGCAAAATACAATATTTTGGCACATAAGAATACAAAGAGTGCGAAACTGTCACTTAAGCTCCGCGCGTTCTGAAATTATATATTAGAAGGATATAACATCACATTGTCCATTGCAAATGGAGCTGGAAGAGTCATTGTTGACAATTCTCCTGGCATAGTGCTAATAATGGACTAGATCAAAATGACTCAATTAAATTCTAGTGCTTCTTCTATTAGTGAAGTTTCTAGAAAAAAAAAATATCAAACGGCGCAATGCACCTTGGGTCGCTACGGAAACAGCCTCCTTGTATAATTACAAGGGTAAGGTCTGCGTACAACTGACCCCCCAGACCCCAACCTGTTGGGAATATACTGGGTATGTTGTTGTTGTTGTTGTTGAAGGATATAACATCACAACAAAGCTATAATAACTCACGCTAGTTCTAATATAAATAACACTAGTTCTAATATAAATAACCAAGAAAACTTGAACCAAAAACAGAAAGGGTTAACATATAAATAACCTAATGTGGTTAGGTACCAGCGGCTCCAGCGGCTCTTCAGCGTAAATCTGTGCTTCTTCTGCCAATTTTAAGTCTTCAGGATCAATTGCCTCATAGGTAGGAGGTTCCATAGGTTGGGTATCAACAATGATCTCCTTAAGCGCGACACAATTCTCCAACAAGTAGTTGACTACTCATCATCACTTGGGCAACCATAATAACCTAAAAACCGAAAAACTTTCAAGTGCTGGTGCAGTGGAAACTGCTCAACTCCCTTCTGAATTTCTCTATTTGACCTTTCAGCATCAAACCATTGTTGCTGCAAATATAAGTGAAAATAAAATAACGGTCATACATTAATTTAACATATAAAATTTAAAATAAAAAAATACAAGCCATAAATTCATTCAATGATGACCAGTTTACAGGAGATTGTAGGGATAATATATACAAACATGTTTGGGATAGACCAACCTTTAACTCAAATTCTTGCAAGTTGGGAGACGCCATGATAAAATGAGCTAGGTCTAGAAGACTCCAGTCCACTCCACATAAAACTTTCATGAAGACCAACTTCTAAGTTTAGGCATCAAAGGGAAATTGAGCGTTGTTAGAAGCTCCTGCAATAACAATAAATAAAGATATCAACTGGTAAGTCATACATATACAGGCTCATTGGGCCTTCCTTTAAATACCTTACTTTTGAAAAATTATTCAACTTCTCGCAATTCCACAATTCCTGCTCAAACTTTAAATATATTTATGGATATTTGTAGCTTTTAATATCTTTCAAAAAAGAAAAATAGTCCCATTTCAGGTTCTAAACAAAAAGATTACATGACATGCCAAAAAATAGTTCAGTAAGAAACTGTCGAAAGATTATCTCAAGTGGTGCACTTTTGGAAAAGTCCATATCTTAAATGGACTTATGGAAAATAGACTTCTCCAGAAGTCCTTATCCTTTACTTCTGTAGAATGGAATTTTTGGAGAAACAACTTATCCATATTTCCACTCTAAAATTAGCACCAAACATTAATACTTATCCAAATGAACTTTTACATCAAAAAGATCTATTTGACAAATGTTTCCAAACAAGCTCTAAATAATTTAAAATATTGCTCTTATGCAAAAATAGTTATTGGCAAATTTTACATAACCAAAATGCTAAGAAAGCATATGGAAAAAAAGTCACCAGAAGACATTTATTAAAAAATAAAAATGGACGCTGAAGTATTGAAATGCAAATTTCAAAGGACAGAAATTAGCCATGCTATATTTACTTTACCATCAATAGGCTCGATTAAGTGAATAAACAAAATAAGAACGACAGCTTATTTATAATATAGAGTATATTTACTTAATTATTATATTACTTATAATATAGAATTTATTAATTCAATTATTATAGAATCTACATATTGAATTATTATATTATTTATAATTTATAATTATCATTATACTTTAGAATATAATTTATTCAATTATTATATTATTTATAATTTAGAATATATTTATTCAATCATTTATTATTTTTAATTTAAAAGTATTTAGTGAATCATTATATTATTTATAATATATAATCTATTTACATAATTATTATATTATTTATAATTCAGAATATATATATTTAATTATTATATTATTTTCGTTGTACGTTATGATATATATTTGAAATCACATTCATAACTAAATGCTTAGTAGCCCAATTGGTAGAGAGTTCATTTTTATAACCCAAAGGTCATGGGTTCGATCACCACCATTGGGACTTTATTTCTAAGAGCATAATGGTAAATTCGACAAAAAAGTAACGTCGTCATTATTAAAGTAACAGCGTTAACATCAAATAGAGAATATGCATGCAGATATTAAATACAAGGGGATTTGATGCAATTTTTAAAAATACCATGGGAAAACGCGCAGATTTCATATAATACAGGGGGATTTGGTGCAATAAACTCCTTTTAAAAGTCTTAATAAATCAAAATTGAATACACTAAGATTTCTAAAGTCTCAATTTTTTTTTTTAAAAATCTCAATTGAAGACACCCCTTAGTGTTAATTTGGTATAGCCCAAACATGGCTATAAAACCAAGATTCTCTCCATTGTCTGGAATCACAATCGTAAAGCAGCAAATCACCTTTTCTCTTTGGAGTCCTGAAGGAACAATTTATAATTTTTGTGAGTCCCGCCACCAGACAAGA